ACATTGCCAGATAGAATGCCAGAAAATATGCCAGATAGAATGCCAGAAGATATGCCAGTTAGAATGACAGATAGTATGCCAGACAAAATGGCAGATAGTATGCCAGATAGTATGTCAGATAGATTGCCAGATAGAATGGCAGAATGAATGTCATGGTGGGGATCACTCGAAGCAAAGTAAGTTCTATTCTATTGCCAGAGATAGCTAAGACATGATTCCATTAATTTTTAGTATTGACAGAGATAGCTAAGTAATGATTCCTTTCATTTTAGTACTGCCAGAGTAGCTCCAGAGGTAGCTAGCTAAGGATTCCTTGTTTATTTATCAATTAATTGATTGTTTTTCTATCATATTGTTCTGGAGTCTCAATTGTTGAGGGGGGAGGGGGGGGACCCCCGGGGGGGGTTTTATTAATCAAGAGTCAACATTACGTGATATCTTAATGGAAGCATATAGACGCGTGCGACTGACCCTCGCAGCGCCAGAGAGAGAGAGAGAGCGTGTTCGTCGTCGTCGTCGTCGCCGTCGTCGTCGCCGCAGCAGCAGCAGGAGGAGGAGTAGTAGTAGTAGTAGCAGTAGTAGTAGTGGTAGTAGCAGTAGCAGTAGCAGGAGCAGTAGCCGTAGTGGTAGTCGTAGTAGTAGTAGTAGTCGTCGTAGTCGTAGTCGTAGTCCTAGTCGTAGTAGTAGTAGTAGTAGTAGTAGAAGTAGTAGTAGTAGTAGTAGTGGTAGTGGTAGTGGTAGTGGTAGTCGTAGTAGTAGTAGTAGTAGTAGTAGTCGTAGTAGTAGTAGTAGTAGTCGTAGTAGTAGTAGTAGTAGTATTAGTAGTAGTAGTAGTAGTAGTACATTAGCAGTCTTCGACACATGTTTAATCCTAAATCCCAATGTTCCAGGTGGTATCCATGCTACCTGATTGCTGGCTAAGAATGAACCCAAGACAGCTCCCAGGATTGCACTCTGCCAATCAAACACGCAATCTCAGACGTCAGGGTTTGCCGTGTTGTCGGTGCGGCTGTAGCCGCCGACGCCCTCGTGATTGCGTGGCCTCTGGTGCGAGTCAATGATGAAGCGAGGTCGGATTATTCACTTGAAGGACCGGCAGCCGCCAAAGTCTTGTTGGAGTTAAAGCTGCTTCTGGCAGATGGAGGGCGTTTTTTTGCCAGAAGCCAGGACCTTCCTAACGAGGAAGGCTCAAACCTCCCGTTTATGGGTAACAGGGGACACAATCTCGGAAGTCTATGGGTCTCCTGACGGTTTCCCAGCAGACTAGATGAACCATGGCTGCCGTCACTTCGCCCAGGTTCTGACTGACCGCCACGGCAGAATGACGTGGCTGAAGCACCCCGTGCCTGTTTGTGGGAGGTTGGCTGGATTTGGGGGTGGAGATTGCATGTGAATGCTGGTGGCCCGATTCCTCCTGTCATGCCGTCATGCCGGTGCCCAGTGCGCCTGCCGCATCGCTGGCGGCTAGCTGGATTGCAAACCCAAGAGCTGACACGAAAGGGAACCGCTTGGTGACCCAGGCCTCTACTTTTCTTTTGGCGCGCAGTGTGTCAGACACGAGGTTGACCCCCGGAGCGCAAACTTTCAATGGTTGTAGCTTGGCATGATTTCTTTCTGGGTTCATTTGAATTTGGGAAGGTTGCCAAAGCTGTCGTTCATGAACAGCGCAAGCATCTCATCTTGGTGCTGAGCTTCTTGTTCCGAGATCAGAGTGATGATCTGCCAGCTGCCCCGTGGTAGCACACATGGCTTCACTAAGATGACAAAAAAACATTTTTTCAACGCAGTTGGGCATCTTCTGAAGCTTTGTCTTGGTCGGGCTGGTGGTTTAGTTCTAGCTGAAGGCAATAAGGGATCTCCGGCTGTCCTCAAGTCGGGTTGAGTTGCGGTGTGAGGGCAGCGCGGTAAATGCTGTTGCAGCGGTGTCGCTCAAAGGTATTGCTCCTCACTTACCTTTGCTGGTGCGGGCTTGGAATGTCGAAGACACTGCATGGGCCGCTGCGCAAAGTCGCTGCGTTGAGAAACCCTTTCTTGGACATGAAGGGTGCCGCTTTTAGCTTCTTGGATGCCATGAAAGGATCCTTCGTCCATGGCGTGGCCAAAACGCCGCGACTCTTGACGTGAGCCAAAGCCATTTTCAACAGATCGTTTTTCCTAGACTTTATACAAGGAGGAACCCGGCAGGCGGTTTGTTAAGGGCTTTGGATTTCTTCATTCTACCGGCAAACACCAACCACAAGAGCTCATTTCAATTGGGAGTTTGTTCAGGGTCTTTCGCATCCCGTGCACATCATGTTGATAACCGAACCAACTGTCACGCCGTTGCCTTGATTCACTCCGACTCCTCGCCCGGAAAATGTCGTCGCTGTCATTGCCCGTTCCTGCCCACAAGCGTCGGCGCTGTTCAGCTCCCTCCGTGACTTCTGCGGCTACTGCGTCTTCCGCTTGCAGCGAAATTCACAAAGCGGCCAACTCGAGATTTCTGTCTGAAGCCGAAGACAATCTCAACTATGTGACTTCAAAAAGGAGGGTGCAAAACCACTGCTTGCTTGAAGCGGCTGATGGCGAACCGGGCGATGCAAGCGCTGCCTGCTGTAGAGCAATTTGGCATTCTCTACATGGGCGTGTACATGAGGGATCCCTCGCTCCTCGCCTGCGATGTTTCAAAAAAGTACAGTAACGCTGTAGATTGTAGCGACCTCCACCAACCCGGTGCCTTCACCACCGCAAGCCGCAGCTGAAAAGGTGGATGCGCAGAATTGTCGCCAGACGCCATGTCCATGCCGGGTTCTTTCAAAAATAAACATTGGTTGCTGGCTCGAAAAATGTGAGAGAGGTGCTGCAGACAAGCATTTCTGTTTTCTTTACAAAGTAATACAAGCCTATCAATGAGGCTTCACACATGTACATGTTGCAAAATATTACAATATAAAATTGAATCCAAGACCAATAATGAGTAGTAGCAGTTACTAAGTAGTAAGTAGTTAGTAGTAAGTAGTACTGTAAGTAGTAGTCAGTAGTTTGTAGTTTGTAGGTAGTAGGTAGGTAGGTAGGTGGGTAGGTAGGTAGGTGGTAGCAGGTGGTAAGTAGTATGTCGTAAGTTAGTATTGTAAGTAGTAGTTTGTAGTTTGTAGTTAGTAGGTAGTAGGTAGTTGGTAGTGGGTAGTAGGTAGGTAGTAGGTAGGTATCAGGACGTAGGTAGGTAGTAGGTAGTAGGTTTAGGCAGTAGGCCGTAGGCAGGTAGGTAGGTAGGTAGGAAGGAGTAGGAGCAGTAGCAGTAGCAGTAGGAGTAGCAGAAGTAGTCGTAGTCGTAGTCGTAGTGGTGGTAGTAGTAGTAGTGGGTAGTGGGTAGTGGGTAGTGGGTAGTAGTAGTAGTAGTAGTAGGAGCAGCAGCAGCAGCAGTAGTGGTAGTGGTAGTGGTAGTAGGTAGCACGTAGTTGTGGTTAGTGGTTAGTAGTTGGTCGCTGAGAGTTGGTAGTTAGTTTTTCGTCGTAGAAGTAGTAGTAGCAGCAGTAGAAGGAGTGGTAGAAGTAGTAGTAGTAGTCGTCGTAGTAGTAGTAGTAGTGGTAGTGGTAGTGGTAGTGGTCGTAATAGTAGTAGTAGTAGTAGTAGTAATAGTATTGCCCGGACCTGGAGGCATACCAGTCATGCCTTACCCACCAGTTGATTGAGGATAGCTATTGGGAACTCCTACCGCGTTGTGCGCAGAGGGAGTACATCAACCTGCAGACTGTCAACATGTCTGACCTTCACCGTACTGCGCAACATGCAGTGTTTACTGGCCATGGGGCCACACACCGTGACGTCGCTAGACTATGCAGTGACACCCTGGACGCGTTCCAGGCCGAGGCCAGCCACCACAGAGTCACAGTACGTTTCTGTGTGGACGCGTTCCAGGCCGAGGCCAGCCACCACAGAGTCACAGTACGCTTCTGTGTGTGAAAGAGCGAATGCGCGTTTTACATACGTATGCGTTTGAACACTGGGCGTTTCCAGGCTGCTCGTCGGACCCTTTTTTTCTTGGCTCGGCCAGCGCCGGCGCAAATTTGCCTCTTACCAGGCCACACAGTAAGTTTCATGGAGTCCACAGGTTCATTTATTACGCGCGCTTTCTGACAGCAAAAAGAGTCTATGTCCAAGATCCTTCTTCCAAACTAGTCCTCCAGCCTGTGTCAAATCCAAGTCCACTGCATCAGCCTTCTGAACCCTGCCCCTCGCAACAACCTTTACCAATCAGGAACCAATCAATACCACGCAGAACATCGCCTCCTAAGCTACTCGCTCCATTAAATGTTTACATGCCTCACGCAACCACGGACGCAGCCGGTGATTCTCTGGGGCCCTCCCCATTGAGTGGGGTCGGCGGATATGCATACACAGTATACAAACTGGAATACTGGAACCTGTCGCTGGGTGAGTTCTATTTTTGAATACAAACCCACCACAAAAGAAGACCTGCTCGGATCAAAAACACATGTTCGGATGGTTTTGGGTTATAGTACATTGTATACATTTGTTCATTGACTGATCACTGATCCAATGTTTTTTTAAAAAAATCAATGTAAGAAAATAACAAATTGTTCAAATGTTGTTTCTCTCGGCGATGGACTGCAGTAACCCTCCATAATGAACCTTGATTCGGTACATGTTTTGGGTTCCGGCAGAGAATTCCCTTCTGCATTCGTTTGGGGATTGCAATGTTTGGTGTGTTCTCAGGATGCACCCGCCATGGAGGTTCCTTTTGTTTTATTGGGTTCAGGTCGTGCATGTGCGATGTTGGGGAACGAAAAGTAGCTCCTACTCGAAGGTGTTTAGGTGTTTGGACGCTCCTGGTGCCCACATAAAAATGTCGATCACATCCCCCTCGATAGGAGGGTATGTGGATCGATACGGTTTCTATTCGATCTGCCACCTGTGACTTGATTCGCCCGCTTCCGGGGCCAATCTCGGTGCCGAATGCCCCTGTCCCACAAGTTTCGGAAATCCAGTCGAGTTTCAGGGCGCACCAACAACCCATAGCAAAAATTCAAATCCATACTCAAACATACAACCGCACCAAGCCAGGAATCAGGAATTTGTTTTGTTGATTCATTTTTGGAACCATCCTACACTTGCGTCCAAAAGACCAGGGGTTCGGGATCTAGCCCGGCCAACGTCGGAGCCCGGTCGAATCGCTCAGGTGGGTTTGGCCGAGGTCGCTGCCTTCGTGCAGCGGCTCGGCTGTGCCGCGGAGATCGCCGTCAACTGCCGGACCAAGGCGTAGACCGAAGGGTTGAAGCGAAGGAATCATGAGGAAAACGAAGGGTACAAGAGTTTTTTGGAATGAGAAGTGAGCGGACCATGAGGTTGTATTGTGTTTTTCAGATTGTGCGTATGTTAGTTTCTTCAATTTTTCTTTTGTTGGCCCACTGCCATACTGTAAATTCTGCCTTATCCTTCAGAATCTGGAGGGTGGGTTGGAGCTCATATACAACGAAGCAAGCGCTCCAGGGTATTAATTGACTCCAAACGGCTTTGACAGTTGAGTAGAATTGGGGATCTAGCACCTGACCACCAAGAGTTCTGATCAGAACATGTGCTGATACAACGAAGAGTTTTGGACCCTATAAAACACGAGGTTCTTCCATCCAGAGTCCTGGAAATGGACTGAAATATGATGAAATGTGTTGGAATCCCACTCAAAGGGAAGGTGAAGTATACACAAAGGACTGGTCGAGTGGTTTCACTTGTACCCAGACACGACCTGTCTGGCACTGCCAGGACGGACTGCCCCAGACAGACCACCCTGAACGCCCGTTTTGAAGGCAGTCCAACATGGCAGTCCCAGAGGGGTCGTGTTTGGGAGGTCATTTGTTTGGTACCGTCCATGGTACTTGTCCAGGACGTCCGTCGTCCTTGACCATCGGATGGATCGGAGCGGCGGGAGGTCACGCAGGGCTTAGCCTTCAAGATGGTCGTGGATCATGCTGAACGGGTGCCTTTGGCAGTGCCAGGGCCATGCAAAGGCCATGCTGGGCGTAGACCGGAAGGTCCTGCTATAGGAAAGGAGTCGGACAGCAAGAAGGGATTTCTAAAACCTGAACTGGGACGAAGTGCGAACTGGGACGCTACAGATATAAATCAAAATAGGCAAAGACCAGGGGGCTTAGTTAGGCAGCCCCGGTTTTGGTCCGAAAACCGGTAGTGGCGAAGGTTCCCAGATTTCTCCATGGAAAAAAGATAGCAGGACAGGCAGGATCCACTCAGCAGGCACCCAGCTGGGCCGGGTATCGGAGGTGACACGTCACAGGGCCCTTTTGGTGGTGAAAGCACATGTGACCTTAATTAGCTTGAAATCTGATATATAATACCGACCCTAGAAGTTTAGAAGTCCAAAGACATCCAAAGACTATTTTCGGCACCACCCAAGTAAAGGAAGTTCCTTTTCGGATCACCTAAAGACCGTTTAAAACATGGTCTTTGACTCCCAGGCTATGTAATATATGTTTTTTGTTTTTTGTTTTTTTAAATATATTATATATACATTTATGTAATATATGTGTGTACACATTTACATGCATTTACAATGAAATCCCAATACTATGTGTTACTGATTGAGACATTTCTTCTGCCTTTGTTGTGCTCTTCTGGTCGTTTTGGGATGGTACCTGCTGCCCGAACAGCCCAATCACCTTTGCCAAGAACACACCGTGAACGCATACTTTCTGAAGAAGCATGGAAAACAGATGATCCCCCGAACACTCAGTCACCCGGCATTTCGCAGTCACCTGGCATTTGCCTGGCCTTCAAAGACCATTATGTAAAAGAATGGCTTGACCTGGTGTTGTAGTCTAAGATCCTTTGTTAAATTTGATGGTTGTTCAGTCAAACCCATGAAACCCAACGGCGGTTGGCGGTTGGAAACCCGGAGATGTCTTTAGAATCAATCTGACCTTAAGAGCCACGTGCCAGACTCTGACGTCCATGATGCAGGAGATGCTAGCTGGTGGTTTGAAGGGAGCAAGCTAGAGATCTCCATTTGCACCGATTCCCAGACCATCCATGGGACTGGAATGGTTACATATGGTTACCACTAAGAGTCAGTAGGGTTCCATCCATGGGTCATAGTAATGGGTGTCAATTTTGTTAAAAGTCCATCACTGCTCTCCGCAGGCATTGTCCGCCGAGGACCGCACTTCGGACCGCAAGTGACCGAGGTTAAAAGGTCCATCCATAGATGGTCAAGTTTTCATGGTTATCAGGTCAAAGCCTGGAACCTAGATGGTTTCATAGATGGTCTGTTGTTTGATGGTTTCATAGATGGTCTGTTGTTTGATGGTTTCATAGATGGTCTGTTGTTTGATGGTTTCATAGGTTTCAAGTTGTTCGTGGTTTCAAGTTCTGGCTCCATGGATGGTCTGGCATTCACAACCATCATCTCCCTGCCTTGCTCGAGAACGCGTCCTGAGGCGCTGAAAGGTCTGCAGCCGTGTCCTGAGGCGAGCTTGCCACCGGTAGAGCGGAAGGGGATGACATGAGCCAAAGGAAGACCCCATTGATGACTCGATATGGAGACCTTTGATTGATCACCGGCCCCCAGTTTGTTCGGTATTTCTGGTGTGCATCCTTCGTTCGGTCTCACTACTTCCTCATGGTTCACGGTAGCATCCTTCACTCGGAATTCGACCCACCCCTATGCGGCAAGGGATGGTGCGGGCGGGCCTGATGGTCCGCAAGTACGTCCATCCACATGGGGGGAGGGTTAATCATCAAGAGTCTACATTAGTGTAGGTACACTCTGACGAACACGTCACATGTTGACGTGGATGGGGCCCGGTACAGTCTGACGATGATTCTTATAGAAACAGGGAATGCCATCCACTTCCATGTGACGTGTTCGTCGGATACATGGATGGTCTGGGATTAGTCTTGAAGACCGGCAGGAGACAGGGAAGGAGTGAAGGTCGAAGAGGTCCGAGTGAAGACGGGAGGTTATCAAGTCGAAAGAAAGAAAGCCCTGAGAATGACCCCCAAGCAGTCTGCTTGCTCGAACCAGATGTCGACCTAGTGACCTAAAACGTGGACACAGAAACACCTCTGAGGGCCTGAGGGACTAGTCGATGTTGTTATGGATTTTCCAGAAGTGTGACTACGATTCCTTCAGGGGAGGTAGGTGTTTCAGTGTGATTGTGTCACCGGACTATTGGGGAGTCTTTGTCTTTGCTGCGATTCCTGGTGAGAATTGAAGACATTTGGGATCAGATGAACGTTCGACATGTGGGTCATGGCAGCGGGTTACCTTGGTTGACCAGAGAACAAACAGGCGACCTACAGGGGGGTCCAGGTGCCATGGCCCATTCCCATATGAACAGAGACCCGTTAGTGAGCGGGTTTGGAGGAATGGACGAAGACCTCGAGATAAGAGGCCTGAGCAGCTCAAAGAAGGAACAGAGAAGGGAGAGGAGATGAGGACAGGAAAGAAAGGTCTGGGCACACGTAAGATCAATCACATGTAAGTCCCCTTTTTCGGCTCCTGTCCCAGATCCTCAGGCTCGGTGGGCACAGAAAACCAAAAAAATCCACCCATCTTCGACATGGTGGGAGGCCAGGAGCCCTAGGAGTCATGATGTGTCATCTACACCTGGATTCCGAGACCGGAACCGGGCTCAACCCAGCGCACCTGACTGGAAAGACTAGTGGCATCCGATCGCTCCGTTTTCTTCGTATGGCATCCGATCGCCCCGTTCGTAGCTTACCTTGTGACGGACGGACGCAAGAATGCTCTCGAACGGCGTTGCGATGCCACGAGCCCCAGTATTTGCCTCCAAGTCCCCCCAGCAGTTTTCAGATAGGACCTCCGTGTGAGACCCTCCGGGCCTCGACTCCGCACAGCACCTCTTGGGACTGAAGCCTTTGCGCGCGGACGCCCGGACACCGCGGACGTGGGGGAAAAACACCCGGGAAGACTGGCGTCTCCTAAGTGACTCGTTGGATGAAGAGAAAGGTGGACCTTGGTGTGTACCTTGGTGGACCTGGTTGTTGTAATTAGTCTAAAAACCGTTTTTTTTATAAAAAGAACTATTCGTAAGGAATAATGGGTTAACACATTGAAGCAATGGTGCTTGGAAGTGGGTAAAGACATGACTCAAGGATATAGCCGTTTTGGGAGAATTGGTTGGGTTCATATTGGCTTGCAACGTTTGCTGATGATTGGGCTTATTGTATATACATGAAACCATGCAAAACCCACCACAGTCCAAGTCAAAACCCACCGAACAACCCAACCCCACAATCAAAACACGAAAACTCTTCACGGAAGAACAACTATAGTGGTCCTCAAATGGATAGTAACCGTTTTGCAATACATGTTCGACTTGAGGAGTTGCTTATCCATTTGGAGGTCCCAAAAGGGACGTCCGTTTGCCTGAGGTGCCCATTTGCACCTCTCCCGTGCGCAAGCGTGCTTGGAACTGGAGCTTTGGACGAAGGCCAAAGAGGTGCGTTCCGAGCCGCGGGAGCTGGTGGAGGGAGCTGGTGGATGGAACAAAAGTAATGTGTATATATATATATATATAGCTAGTAATGTATAGACTATTTGTAGACTCTTGACGATATGTCAACCACCAAGAATAAATAACATTAAGGGGTTTTACCATCCAAACAGGAGGAGGGTTGTGAATCAAGAGTCTACTATGTTCAATTGCCATGAGGCCCAAGGAATCAGATGTCCATCAGATCATAGGTCTTGAATCTAGACCTGACATCACTGGCCCCTCCGGGATTTTGGGAGATCGTCAGTTGGGTCCGGGGCGGAGCAAAGACTTTGAGTGTCACAGAGCTAGTCCACTCGAATCTGGGGCCTGGCAAGCCACGTCATTGCCCAGCATCCTGGCGATTGAAACAGGGAACAGAGAAAATAACAACTAGGCCTTCCCAGCAACAGGTTGAGTCTTTCTTGTGGTTGCCCAAGACCCTGAGTGAAAGAACTGACTCAGTCGTCCACCCAAAGTCGTTCCTCCTGCTTGCTTGGAAATGGCCCGTCTTGAATATCAATCCCGATTGTGTGGGTGGCATTAACCCTTGTAATTCAAAGTAAGAACTCAGACAATGGTCTAAGCATGGAACCTAGGCAGCCAACCAGGTAAAGCCCTCTAGTGTTTTAGTTTTTGCAGCCTGGAGCCCACTATTAAAGTAAACAAGAACCGCATGAAGCAGGAGCTCCAAGCAGGAATGGCTCTTGGAAGCAATCTGGTGTGCTCATAACCGGATGGGGTGCCCCGTTTGGCACAAGAAAGGAGCTAGGGCCTGATCCATAAGAAATCGAAGGCCATACAAGGCCCCCCCCCAAAGGGATGTCTAACTAATGTAGTATAGCCTCTTAGAGCTTAGGGGGTATCCATGAACCACCCCAAACAGGGGCAGCTTGGTATGTCGCATCCTTGTGAAACAGCCCAGACTCCAGACCTCAGATTGTCGCTGCGATGTCCTTGAAACCAGGACGCTCTCGCTGCCTTGCGCCTGGACGCTGGCCTGCGAGAGGCTGCCCCGCTTCGGGGCCGTGATTCCGGCGATGTGGTAAGAATCGATTCCCTTGGTGGCTGTGACCTTTAGGATCCTTTAGGGCAAACGGGCAACCTGATGAGTATACAAACCAGCAGACATGCTGGAAAAAGATGGAAAAAGAGTGTGCAAAGGTTGGGCATCAGTTCTTTTTGCCGTGTGGCTGAGTTGAGGAATTGTTTTGAAAGTAATTGGATTCCCTTTGGACAGGAGTTTTTGCGGCATGACAGCCTTAAGCAATTGTTTTCCATACTTTCTAGCAAGTCTCACTGGCAGCATGGCGATGTTCCAAGCAGCCGACCAAAAAACAAGCACCAGCCCCTTCCGTTTCATGACCAAGAGAGCGGTGGTGAGTTTTTGATGTTGAGCATCTCTTTGGGATCTCCCAATCCCCTCCTCCCCCAAAACAGTGTCCCGCACCTCACGTCCCACTCGTTTCCAGCAAAAGGACACCGGGAATGAATCACCGTCCCCGTGGCAGTTTGGTTTGGAGGGATCTCAAGAACGCTCAGAAAATGAGAACAGTACCATACAGCACCCTATACATCATGTTTCATTCATATTCAGTATCATATTCATATATATATATATATTATACTATAAAATCTCATATATGATGTATATATATATATATGCATATATGATCATATACACATCCCCATACCTGGTTTTGCTTGGTGAGTTTGCATCGGAAAGTCTTCCTAATCAGGACTCTTCGGCGCGCCTTCGGCGGCCGAATTCGGACTGTTCGGAGTTGGCGGCCGGAGCGGGTCGAAGCAAACCGTCGGTCGACATGGTCTGGTCGGATGGACAGGATCCTTCCTGCGTCAGAGATGCGCCGCCTCCCCAGGCGGAGTATTTCGTCCGGGCAGCGGACGCACGCAGCTGGTGAAAGACAAGCGCCCGCAGCAGCGGGACGGTGAAGCGCCACGTGGCGCGTCGCGGGTCGGTACAGCCTTCAGTCGACGGCCTCACGGGGGGGGGGTCGGTGTTCAAGGCAGAGTCGGAAGTGAAGTGTGTTAGGTCGGGATCGGTCGGATGTTCCGGTCGGAGTCGATGGTGTTTGTGGTTCCCAAGTTGGGCGTTTGGGCGCCGCCAAGGCGGCCCGTTCTTGCCGTTCATGTGGCTGGTTCGATGCCGTGTGTTTTTTCGTTCGATGTTTCTTCCTGAAAGAGTGGAAAAGATCGGTCTAAGAGCCACCCAAGCCTGAGGTGCAAAAACGGGTCAAGCACCACATGAAGAACGATGATCATTTCAGTTGTTTTATTTGTGTTTGTTGTTTTTGTTGTTTTTAAATGTTCAACTATAATATCTACTTGAGATGATTCAACCTAGGCTATGGAACCCACTGAACCCACTATAAACGCATATATTTTGGACCCACTATACTATGTTTGTTCGAACGAGCTTGTTGAAACCAACCGTCGACTTCCTGGCGCAGCTCGACTGGCTCGACCGACTCACTTCACTTCCCTTCTGCTGCTTTACGTCGTCACGTAATATGACGGCCATGCGTGCGGTAGGCAGGGTGTGCGGTAGGGTCACTGGAGAGGACCGGACGCGACACGTGGTCTTTTCTTTTTTCTTTTTGTGTGTTTGTATTTTTCGGGTGGCGTGCGTCCCAAAGTGTTGTTTGTTTTTGTGGCCGATGTTCAACTATTTATAGTGGCGGACTACCACTTAGAATTGTCAAATTTTCTAGGGATGCACTTAGAATTAGATTTTTCTCTACAGATAGAATGCAATTGGCGTTTTTTAGTAGTTAGAATTGTTTTTTTCAAGGATTATGCAAGTAGAATTAGTAAAATATGCAGTTAGAAATGACATTCCATTGATCCAACATACATGCAACCCATGCACTTTACCAGCAAAAAAACGACCAACAAAAACGCTGCCTTTCCTTTTTCCCGGTCGAAACGATGAATTCCAGATGCATTTGGAACTGATTGGCTACTTTGAAGGGCAGGCTAATCCTAAACATTAAAATAATTCTAACTGCATTCAAAATTATGTGTTCAAACATATTCTCAAAGGAACAAACTGGTCGCCTATAATATACCATCCATCTAGAAACCAAATCGACACTTTGTTGTGAACACCCGTCCTCCAGTTGTGAATGTAGCTCGGACAAATTCATTGCAACTAGAAACGCGCCGGCCAAAAAAAAACGCAAACCTTAAATAGAAAATTGTTGCTGTTAGAGAAAGCTAAGCATCACTTGCTTGCATTGATGGGGTGCTACCCTTATCTTTACACTCTGCCCTTCCTACTCTTTCCTCAAATCCTTTCTTCACTCAAGCACCGCAAGCTGCGAGTCATTGGACGCTCTCATGTTTTGGCAAACTCGGGTAATCGTGCAATCATGTGACAATTTTAATTCTATGTTTGTTAATTCTATGTGGATGTTTTTATTCTATGTGCGACGTTTTTTCTCTTCAGACAATTCTAACTGCTTTTTCAGTTTTCTAGCAAATCCTAGGTTGCTAGCTGTTTTTTCCTCACTAAAAATTCTAACTGCTAGTCTACCACTATACACAGAAAAGATGGCAAGCAACTAGTTTTGAACTAACTACCCAGTTGATGTTGGTGAGTCTTCCAATATGCCATCCATGCGTTTTACAATTCTTGAACAAGGAGTACCTTTTGAGGTTGCACTTCTCCATCAATGGCGGGGCATGTGAATTTAATTGCCCCAGAAGCAGTGTGACTCCCATGGCTTCTGCAATCATCGATGGCCTCCATAACCCACACACTCCATAGGACTGCCGATCAGTTGGGGTGTTTTGGGGGGTCAATGGGGGGGGCATATATGGCAGTCCCATGGAGTGTTTGGGTAACATTTCGATTCCACTCACTTCGATCTCTTGAACTCTTGCTTGTATTATTCATTGTATCCCTACAGGTCTAGTCAGACCCAGTGAAACCGTATAAAATTACCGAAATTACGCCAGCATAGACCCCAGATAGCATTGGAATCATTGCGTTCAAGCTCCCGCGGCTTCTTCGCTCGCGCTTCGTAACAAGCGCTCGCAGCAGCGGCACCCTGCAGCAGCACCAGCACCCAAGCTCCTAAGTGCACACAGCAGCGGCAACCAGCGTCACCAGCACCCAAGCTCCTAAGTGCACATAGCAACGCCACCCTAGCGGCCCTAGCACCACCAGCACCCAACCTCCTAAGCGCATACAGCGGCGCCACCAGCACCCAAGCGCACACAGCCGCGGCGCCCTGCAGCGATACCAGCACCCAAGGTCGAAAGCGCACACATGCAGCTCTCCTATATGCTGGAAGTAAGACCCCCATAGGCTCTCGCGCGGAAAATAGACCCCCTCACATATGCAAGCTACACCACCAGCACCAGCACCGGCACCCGGCAGCCAGCACCGGCACCCTGTCTCCACCACGTGCACAGCCAGCTCACAGCACCAGCACCGGCACCCGGCACCCTGTCTCCACGCGCACAGCCAGCTCACAGCACCGGCACCCAGCCCCAGCACCAGCACCGGCAACCTGTCTCCACCACGTGCACAGCCAGCTCACAGCACCAGCACCGGCACCGGCAACCTGTCTCAAAAGCGCGCACGGGCAACTCATTGTTATATATTTGAAGTAAGAACCCCATAGCTTCGCTATCTGGGGAACTATATAAATAGGTAAATATATCATATATATATATAGATATATAACTAATTGCGTATAATATATATATATATATACACTGTAATCAACAAATAGTATAAATCTACTAGGGTGCTTGTATGACTCCGTCCGGTGCGGTAGTCCCCTGCTCGGCTAATCGACAGAACGACTGTTTTGAGGCTCGGTGCGGTAGTCCCCTGCTCCCAATCTGGTCCGTGGACCCGCCGCTGTGTAGGTATTCTACTGCTTCTTCTCCGTGCAGGCAGGGGTTCGGGTGGCGTCAGTGCAGAGGTTCGGGTGGCGCTCCATGAGGTGCGAGGTCTCCCGAAGTAATGGCGCGGCGCGGGCATGAGGTCTTCCGAACATGTCCCGAGTGGCGCCTTAGTTTTCGAGTCCGGTTTTAACTAGGCCCAAATACCAGCACCTCACGGCCAGGTCACCAATTGAGACCTGGAGCGGCCTTTCCCAACCCATTTCGGAGACCTGTTGGAAGGTGCTGGTTGGAAGTTGCTGGAATTATGATGTTGATCATGGAAATGGGATACCAGGTTGCCCAGTCTTTTTATTTTCTGAGTCTTACGGCAGTCGATCTGACCATCCCACCTGGGGAGGGATTAATTTTGACCACGACGACTGACTTCAACGACCCCAATTGCTGTCTAAGTGAGTCTCCCTTATCAGCAGTGGCCCAAACTAACAGAAGAACTTGCATGGTCTCCTGTCTTATATTTTAAGTTTTGCCTGTTCAGAGGTGTGCAAGCAGCTCTATACAGATTCAAGCAGCGCGACCTTTTCGGGGTGAAAATCCGAGCGACGTGACCTTGGCGGCCCTGGCGGCCTTGACCCTGCAGGGCTTCTGACCCTTCCTTCCTTCCTTCCTTCCTTCCTTCCTTCTCTCACGGACCAGACTAGTAGCTTCTTGGTCCTAGTAATGCCAGGAGCTACTTCACCTAGCGTCCGACGCTAGGTGCGGAGACTGGGGAGACTGGTGAGACCGATGGCTGTGCTATGACGCAGCTGCGCGGTGCCGTGGAGAGCAACGAGGCAATGCAGCGCAGAGAGATGCACGGGTCTGTGTGGGTAGAGCGCTGAAAAGAATGGTTTGATATGGGGAGACCCAGGTGTTTCCTGGAAAACAAGGAAAACAAGCGCATCCATGAGCACAACAGATGAACATGAAGCACAAACCATCGTGATCCGCCGAACGAGAAAAGCAACCTTTTCCGCTGCATAAAAAGGGTCCAAGCTCGTGGGCGCTTCCATGTGCTTGCCTGAGGAATTCCCTCGTTTCAGGGATCCAGGTCAAACAGGTTGGCTGAACTTCAGGTCAAACAGGACCTTCAGAAGGTTCATTGCTGTTTCCCGCCATCGGCACAACCAACTCAAGCAACTTCTTACTCCAAATCCTTGGAAGGTAGAACTGTAGAACTATGCAGAACTCCATGTGGTTTAAAGACCTCCCCTTTCACCCCACCGAAGATCACAGCAAATCAATTTGATAACTACTTGGCAAAGGATCAAACTATGTAATATCAAACTATAGTGGTTCTCATGCCACCAAGTTGACGTGCCAACATGAGAAACTGATGTAGAGATACGACTCTTTTTTTGGACGTGAACTGCAATTGTACCATTTCCGTGAACAAAAATCTATCATCACCTTGCGATTGCAGGAAAGAAACTTCTCCACGCCGGTCCACGCCATTGTTTCACCATCTTCCTAGTTCCTGAAAAAGAAGTGACTGCCGAACGGATCTAGGGGGTGGTGAAGAAAGAGGCCAGTGACAGGTTAGGTAATGGTTTTTTGTGGCAGAGATCCCTTCATCTCACTTGGACGCCTTCCTTATCCAGATCAGATTCCTGAAGAGATCGAGCCTATGATTTTCTTTGGAAGACAGGAGCTACATTGGTGGTCGTAGCTCACAACACTCGCTTTCATGGTTCCCCTTTGCGGATGTTGTGGCTTCGATCCAAGGTCACTACCCAAATTGGGGGATTGAGCCATATAACTACTATATATACAGTTACCATATTCCATACATGGATTGAACATGTTTGAGTGCTAATCTTTGTCTCTTAACGTCTCTTAACCCATCTAGACCATTCCATGGGCCCAGGCTTTCCAATACCTCAAACGGAAGGTCCTTTTCGATTCTCAACTACACACTATGGGATTTGCAAGATACACTGCAGTTGAGGGCTGGAACATGTTCAACTTCCAATGGTTGAAATGATGTCAATAGCACGCATGTAATATGTATATATATATATATACATGGTACTGCACTAGATCATGGCACCGGCATGTTGAATGGACTGTCTCAGTCTCTCATGTGTTTTCTTGTTTTTCTCAAGGTGCTTATTTTTCCACGTTGACCAGAAGAGTAGCCTCCCACTGGGTCCTAATCATCCAGTTTATGGCACACCGTCCAGTTGACCCGAGGGGGAGTCTGTCCATTTTCGTGCCGTGCCAGGCTGGGTCTGAGATCCAAACCGAGTCGTCGCTTGGGCGGCACCTCTCCGTGCCAGGAGAGGTCCGGTTGGACGGTTTTTGGACCCGAATCGAGAGCGGACAGGTGGACATTGTTGGCGATAGAGGGGTCCCAATTATCGACGAAGACGCATGAAGACGCATGAAGAGGTACGAAGGCGCATGAAGACGCATGAAGACCCATGCAGAGGTACGAAGACGCATGAAGACGCATGCAGAACGTATTAATGTATTACATCAATCTTTACGGCTTTCAAAGTAAGAGAAGAAAGAACAACCCTCACTCACTCACACACGCTCACACTCACACTCACTCTTCACTCACACTCACATTCACACTCACTCTCACTCACTCACTCTCATTCTCACTCACTCACACTCACACTCAAACTCGCACTCGCACTCGCTCTCACTCTCACACTCACTCACTCTCCCACTCTCGCTCTCACACTCTCCCACTCTCACTCCGCGACCTCCCCGCGTGTTTCTTGGTGCGTTTTTTTCCAAATGCTTTTCCTGTGTCACTATTTACTACTTACGACTGTATCTATACAGATTCATTTTCGCTCACCTTTTCACCGTCAGCATCCTGGATGCAAACGACGCTCTTTGACCACGGCTGGATCTCCAAAAGCGCCTCAGGGCACAGTGGGAACGCCCCAGCCCCCAGCACCTATCACCTTGACGATCATCCCGCACGCGGGTCAATGGTAAGTTCGTCTTCGAGCACTTCTCCAGCTCTCCCTGCCACGCCATCATCTTGGATCGCTCCCCAATGCTTCACTTGACCTTTGCGAAACTTTCGAGCCCGGTTTGATCAGTCACAGGGCAGTGCAGAGAAGCCTCAATCGGTGCAGGACTTGGTCAACTTTGGCTACCTTCTTCAAACCGGATCTGAGTTTGGGACCCAGGGTACACGCGAACTCCCCTATGCCAAGGTCTTGTATTGTGACGACGATGACAGCGGCTTGCAACCGGCTTTGCATCATATATCCTTCTCGCCTACCTTGACCATATCCTGAAGAAAGGCGTTGACTATGCTCCTTGTTCGCATCCTTTCTACTTTGTTCATAACTCCTCATCCTGCCCTTCTTTCTTTCATCCTTTCTGTCTTTCTTTCCTTCTTCTTCGCTTCGTCACTCTCATACTTCTAGCACTTTCACATATAACATCAAATAACCCTGATGTATTATCTTTGCTTTTTCCCCTACCAGGCAACAACCAAACCACATGGAGATTCTCAACAAAAGACCCCACCGCCTGACCGCTGACGAAGTCCAGTTTGAAGTTCAATTCATTCAGGGGACGTGCTCTATACCGAGTCCAACTCCCGCACCCCTCCGGGCGCCCACTCAAAGGGAGCGTTCGCGATGCAGCATTGTGGGTACCTATAATGTGGCTCTCGGCGGCTACATCTTTGGCGCCAAGGACCTCTTGAAAAGCAACAAGTTCAAATACATCCGTGGTGACGAGCATTGCACGGGAGGCAGACGTGTTGTGATTCCCATGTATACGTACAGGGTCTACAGGATAATGAAGGCTCGTTTTTAATTAGGTACCATTGTGATCGTAATTCGGTGCGTCCAATACTACTCAAGTGCGGCCGTAGTGGTACCTAACTCAATTGCGGCCGTAGTGGTACCACAATGGTCCCAAATCAAGAAAGTTGGCCCATTTGGGACGAATGCGCAGCGCAGACGGGTGCAACATCGTGTGAGTTGTGCGAGTCACAACAATTGGCAGCGGCTTTGGACCCTCTCGGCATGATGTTCAGTGGTCGGGCAAGGGTCTGAAACAGGTCTGAAACTGTCTAACGGCACCACACCTGCTCCCGTCCTCCTCCAAGGCTCCTGTTTAACCAATTTAAACGGAAAACACCTTGCGTAGACCACCGCGCGCTCTCTCTCTCTCTCTATTTCTTTCTCCCTGTGGCAGGGCCATTTAAATTAGAACTTAGTACGTATTCAAAAAGAACCTATTTTTTGATAAAAATAGAGTCTAGAAATAATCTATTTTCCCGAAAAAATAGAGTCTACTTTCTTGTTTAAGAACATTTCTTAACACAGATAGAAGCCGTACTATACCTGGTAAATGAATTGTAGCTACCCTGCGTATCTATACCGTGTAGGGGTGCACGGAAGCAAGGTTTTGGAGGTGCCTTTTTGTGTTGAAGAAATGCAATTGTCTTCGGTTGCTTGAAGTCAACTTGAAGCTATACTTAGCAACTGAATTGTAGCTACCCTGGGTATACCTGGCAACTGCCTTGTAGCTGCCCTGGGTCCGCGCGCGCGCGCCTAAATCTAGGGCAGCCGGGAGCCAGCAACGCGCGCACGAGCGCGCGGACCCAGGGTAGTGAAATTGAAGTGCGATACCTGGCAACAGAATTGTAGCTACCCTGGGTCCGTATAAATGCTATGTTACTATACCTCTTACACACCTGTATAAGTTCAAAGCACGAATGAGACTTCAAAGCTGTGGATTGCTGTGCGTGTGTAAAGGTTATAGAGCGGTTGACGGAAAGGGAACTTGAAGTGCTATACCTGGTAACTGAATTGTAGCTACCCTGGGTATCTGTACATGGCAAGGCGCCAGCTGAGTAAGAAGGGGGTTCGGGGGGGTGGCCTGAGAAAGCACACTCGAAAGTAGGTGGTGTGTAGGGGTGCACGGAAGCAAGGTTTTGGAGGTGTTTTTTTGTGAAGAACGTTGGCTTTCGTTTTGCAGTTTCTCAGGTTCAAGAACTTCCTACTGATCAACTGACTGAAACACCGTTTCACGTTGCATATCGTCTGTTTTTCAAGGAACGATCTTTTGTTGGGGCTACGTTCGATGAACTGTTGTCAATGCCTGCAGGTATTGCGAAAGCAACGTCTCCAGGTTACTTTGTACGTTGTTCAGCAGAGGTTTCCAACCCCCTGCACGAAAAGCACCCCCGCCGTGCGGCTTTGGGCACTCTATGACCTACCTCGAGCAGGCTAAACTCAATGGCACTATGTCTGCTTTATCTTAATATTTGACGTCCAAGGGACGGTTTGGTGGAGCAGAACATTGGTGAGAAGATTCTTCTCCTAAGATGATAAAATTCCCCACAAACTGTCCTATGCGTCGCTTAAGTTAATTGCGTTGAATTTGACAGGTGGCTATCAAACCTGGGATGTTAAGGCTGTTTGGGATATAACTCGATCAGTTGATTGCCCTTTTTGTGGAACTCCAAATACACATGAACATCGACAGCTTGAATGTTCACACTTCAAGCATGTACGTGATTTTCATCCTGAAGCAATCCGAATATTGAACGCATTCCCGAATCTATTGTGGTTTCCACTTGCCACAACTCATCCACAACAAGTTGTATACAACAGGTTAAAATGTGCACGCCAGGGCCCCATTTCTGGACAAACCTGACATCGTACAAAAGACCCATACGGCACATGCGACTGACCTACTGAATTTAAATGTTGTCGAGCAGCATGGGCGATATAGTGCAACAAATTGTTCGATCTCCAGGTGATCCATCCTTTGACGGTTTATGATTGTGATGCAGACATCTCATACAAGTGGTTTTCAAACCATTCATCGAAGTGAACTGGAAGCAGTCACGTGGCTGGCGTCACATTTCCACGATATATAATCATCCTGATGTTTTTTAATGTCAGTTCACTCCGACTAATTTTGTTGTCACACTGGTTGAAACCATATAGTCAATGGATGTTTGACTGCCAAGACATATCAGCTAGCACACGCTGACCTATCCTGGGTGCCAAGTGGAATCGTGACCAAAGTGAAGTTTCCTGTGTCGATGACCTTTGTACCATTCTAGGTAATACAGTGGCTGTTAACAAGATTGATCTACCTACCAGGATTATTGACTGCCATGCAATGCATTTCTCAACACGCATCGGCGCAATGTTTCATCCCCTGTCCCTGTATTTTTGCATACTTGGCTGACCGAAGTGATGTTTGTTGAAGTTCTTGTCAATACAAATGGCAATAAATGGCAAGGGCTACACCCAACAGGTCCACCCCGCAGTCCGGACTGTTCCTTTTTCCTGTACAAGGACTGTACACTGAAGAACAAGGACATGAAAGACTGTACACTGAGTGTGCATGCACATACTGTACTCATTGGTACGTTGTATCCATAAATGCAAGGTAAATACAGGTTCACCATCTGATTGAAAGATCCGTTTTTTTTGCATGGTTCCTGTTGCTTTTGGGAGGCGCTTGCGTTTGTCTCGAGACCTGCACCGAGGTGCTTTCACCCCTGCACCCGGAAGGAAGCTGAAAAGTCTCCCGATCGCATGGGGTGCTGGGACCTCGGAGGGCCCAGGGAAGTCGCTTTCAGTCGCCGTTTTGGGGGGGGCAGACCGCCGTTCGGAGACGGCCGAAAGGCCCAAACCCCCGCCCCCACATGGCCGCCTGAGAAGAAGGTATTCTTCAAATGTGTGTGCGCGTGTGTTTTTTCCCCTGCCAATGCTACTAGCTTTGCGGCTTTGTCAGACCTTTCGTGTTCGCCGAGCTTTCGCATTCAGAGATGGACCAGTTACTGTGGCACCCAGCGACCCATCGCGTGTTCATCACCACTTCATCACCTTCTTTACAGGCCGCGTGTTCTCCCTGTCACGTCACAAGTCGGCATGTCCTTCGCAATAGGTCTGTGAAATTGATACATATGCTGCAGCAATGGCAACGTGCAATCTCAAAACAACACGAGGCTGACTAGTTTACCATGGAAGTGGATGGCATGGCCCCTTTTTCCTTCACCAACAGCGGCTCCCCCTCCACTTCCCTGTGATGGTTCATACAACCAGGGCTTGAACGGCTTGGCCTTGGCGCGAGGTTTTGCCGGCGAAACCACAACTTGATGAGCAATTGCAACGGCTGCATGGTGAAGTGTGGTGCGACGCTCGACCAGAATTTGGACGTGGTCGTGGTCGTTAGACGACCCGGATTCACCACCGGTCATGTCTCCCAGGTGCCCATCACAGGTGCCACTATTTTATACTGTTCACTGAACCCTAGGGCTCCAAGTACATCCTCAGAAGGTGTTTGGACCCTCCAAACCCACCCCAGTCCCACCTTCTTAGAAGGTGCGACCGGAGCCCTAGGGGAAATATTGGGATCCTTTGCACACCCTGACAGGGTGTGTCGGTGACTTCGGTCCTAGGGACTGAACCACTCGGAGCTTTGCAGTTGATTTGACTGACGAACGAGCTGCTTCACTTGGCTCGTGTTGTGAGTGACCCAGGTCTGAAGAAGCAAACCATGGTTTGTTCCATGTAAAGAAATGACTGTGGGGCAGGCCAGCTTTGAACAGATTCCTATCTTGGACCCGATGAATTTCATGTCTTCCACCAAGCACTTTGACTGGGCACGATGAAGACCCGATGACCCGACGAAGTGCGACTTCTTCACCCCTATACGGGCTTTTCAAGGTTCTGTGAGAACCACGCTGAACCACTCCTTAGCACTCATGAACAGCGTCATCCACTCATGAACAGCGTGACTTCACTGGATGGGGGACTGCACTCACGATGGGTGGAGTGCTGTGCTCCAGATGATGACCCACCAATTGGGTGCTGAAGAGTTGTGATGTCCTTCCAATACTTTCCATTCAACAGGTTCATTTGGCTGGCCAAAACCGAACAGGTTGATATCCTCTGTTCAGTCCTTTGTTCATCTGTTTGAATGGTCGGTCAACGGCTCTCCCAGTCACATCATCATCTACGGATCCGGCAGTCCGTCACATGGGTCACCTTGGTCGAGTCCGCCGTTGGAGAGGCCCGAGTCGCTCCAACGACCGTGAGTACCTCCGTATACTCCCCCCCGCAACAACCCATGGTGACGTGGATGGCGTGTGTTCATGGCAGAAGGCGGTTTTTTCCAACAATTCCAAGAGAGGGTGCCATCCACTTTCCATTGGCAAGGGAGGGTAGTACAAGGTCTTTGGGATGGCCTGTGGGAGGGTTTCGATTTTCTAAAGAAGCTCATGAGGAGACCAAAATGGGGCCGGAGCCAATCATGTGCCGTTCACTGGGCCAATCATCCGCGCCACGGATTTCCGTGTTTCCGCGAACCGAAACGCGCTTAGGACGGGAGGTCTGAGCTCCTTCAGCAGTGGCGGAGGCTCCTCTTCCACCAGCGGCAGCATCACCATCACGGGCGGTGGAAGCAGTGGAACGATGTGCAACGATCTCGGGACGCTTTTTGCGAAGGAGAGGAGACTTCAGTCTCAGGGGGCTCGGGTCTGAGGTTCGGCCCGGGATTTCGTCTTTCGAATTCACACCCAGACCTATGGGAGTGGCTTTCGACCGATCACGGCCGATGGAAGCGAAGCCGATGGGCCAGTCCGACTTAGTCGTGTCTGGGTTTGGATCCAAAACCGACTCCATCCAGACCTCGGCCTGGCGAAGCGAAGGACGGTGGTTCCAATCGGACCTCGGTCTTTGGGGATCTCAAGTGATCCCCAAAGACTGTTGAGGACCGGATGGCACCGGTTTTCCAGATTTTCTACGTGGGGGATCTACAAACTTCTATCTTTTGGGGTCTATAAGCTACCTGTTGTTGGGGCTCTCTCTGGTGTGAAGACACCCAATTGCTATTCCATTCGCTGGGGAGGGAAGCGAGCCCCCAGCCGGGCCTAGCACATCGTTTGCACATCTTGGACTTCCCCCCTAAAAGCCTTAGGATAGTAACTGGCCCCACCCTTCAGTTTTTCTAGCCTTGACCCGCGGGATTGGATGGTATGGTTTTTTCGTGCGTGTCCCAGTAAACCTGTGAGAGTTGGTGAAAAGAACATCAGAATTTATGTAACATCACTATTTTTTGAGAAAGTTAATCCACTCTCACTCGGATTGGCGTATACCTAATTAAGCTGTGGTTTCAGTTCGACTGAAGCCATAGATCTAGAATCCCTGGTTCCGGCAACTGGGATTCACTGGGTTAAGGTATGTTGAACGAATTGAAGGCATTGGTTTGGTTCTTGCATGCTTTTTCTCCAGGCGAGTTGGCCACCCCAAAACACCAGCAGGGGGGTGTGCTTGCAACAGCCTTCCAAGTCTCCTCCAGGTCTTGTGAAATGCATCAAACATGCAGCTATGATGATACCAGCCTTAGAATCTTCCAATCCTTCCAATCCACAAAGGGCATCTCTCTCTCTCTCTCCCTCTCTCTCTCTCTCTTTGTGTATATAGGTAGTAGTAATTTCCTACATGGGGGAAGCCGTCGGCTCCTAGTTGAGTCGTATTGTAGGATAAAGTTGGATACCATTTGGGATGCTCGACGTGCTTTCCAGTGTACAATCTTTGAAGGAAGCAATGTTTCGATCTGATTCCATTGTCACATATCATTACTATAGAGGACTAGTTACTAGTAATTACTATTACCACATCAATAAAATTACGTTACAAATTGAACATTGTTATATAATATATGTATATATATACGATATATATATATATATCATTGTTATTGCTTGTTCTCTTAGTATCTTATTTTTGCTGCGGACTCCCATGTCGACACTGCCAGAAGTCCTAAGGAAGTTGCCGACCTACTGCAAGGCCAATCCTGGCAAGCCACTCGGTTAGCAGAGCGGAGGAGTGGCCATCGGTGGCCATCGGTGTCGTTTTTTTCTGCACACAGACGCATGCCCACACATGGGAGAAAGTTCGTACGGTGGATGTATGCCGCAGCCAGCGGCCCGAGAGCAACCTATTTCGGTGATTCAAGAGGCCTAAATAACCAGGGATGAAGTGGAGCGGCCTATAACCATCCCCAGTGGATCCCAGTTACCACTATACAAGGAACCAGGGGTTCTAGGTCTATGGTTTTAGTCGAGCTGGAACCACTGAAACTCCCAGCTATGGTGGGTTTTCTGGATACCCTTGGATCCAAAAAACCTGTTCTTTGCAAAGATCCAAAGTTCCGAAGACCCGACATCATCACCGAGCGGCGCGAGCGCTTGCGCGAGCGCGCGCAAGTCTGCAGAAACTCCAACCGGTGCAAAGGCCAGCAGCTTGTTCTAGTTACAAAGGGGCCCACTGGGAAATATCCAGTCATCACAAGCCGGTATGCAGTTGGACGTCTCCAACTGTATACGTAACTGATGAGTGTCTTTGTTAGCATTAGTCTCATCAGCACCTCCGGTGCCCCCTGCTAAAATTCAAACCCCAAAGGCCCCCCAGTGATTCCATGGATTGCACACCTCGATAAGGTTCATTCAGAGCGATAATCCAACGGAAGCTAGTTACTGAATACTTAGCACTCTAGTTACTGAATACTTTGCACTTGACTCAACAAACGGAAACTTGGTGGGTCAGCGTACTTGTAGGTGTTTTAACCAGGTACTCCGGAAACTAGTTACTGAATACTTAGCACTCCTGAATTAACGGCATGCATAGAGACTAAACTAGCGCAGGTACATGGGACTGGCCAAGTCCCGTATCCCGCGATATCACCCAGCTTCGTTGGTCAAGTTTGGTGATATCGCTCCTTGACCCCCCTGCATGATTAAAAGCCTTGGAAACAGGGTGGGACACACACAACACAAAGCGCCACTTTGCGGCGTGCACTGGCGTTAAGAAGGTAACAACGCAGTAGACAGCTTAAGAACTACTTAGGTTCTAGAAAAATGAATACTTAGCCCTTGACTGGAAGAACGAATACTTAGCACTTGACTAAAAAACGGCCTGGCTACATACCTGAAAAGCCTCTAGTCAAAAGGCAAACCTAGAAAGAGAAACGAAAAAGCAGGAGAGAAATAAACGAAGCCGAGGGGCAGGGAAACGAGCCTCAAGAGCAACCTGACGAGCCTGAAGAAACACCTAAGTTTAACAAAGAAGACACCGCAAGAAAGAAAGAAAGAGGGTAGGGGTGGGGTGGGGCTCATTCTCCGTAAGCCCGGCGGCATTGATTCTCTGCATGCCCGGTGGCTTCATGAATCGGCTGCTCCATGCAAATCAGAAAAGTTGTGAGAGAATCCACGAAGCAAAACCGCTAAGCTGTTGATGATAATCCAAGATGGCTTCAGCGCCCCTTGCGGGGATCACACTATGCACCCGAGTGGGAAAGCGTAGCAGTTCACACTTCGATAAGGTTCATTCAGAGCGATAATCGAACGGAAGCTAGTTACTGAATACTTAGCACTCTAGTTACTGAATACTTTGCACTTGACTCAACAAACGGAAACTTGGTGGGTCAGCGTACTTGTAGGGGTTTTAACCAGGTATTCCGGAAACTAGTTACTGAATACTTAGCACGCCTGAATCACCAGCATGCATAGAAACTAGACTAGTGCAGGTACATGGGACTGGCCAAGTCCCATATCCCGCGATATCACCCAGCTTCGTTGGTCAAGGTTGGTGATATCGCTCCTTGACCCCCCTTCATGATTAAAACCCTTGGAAACAGGGTGGGACACACACACACACCATGCGCATTCAAGGAAGTAGAAAGACATGAGTTCGACAGCTCTGTGCAAGTGTTTTTTGATCCCCTGAGCCCCCACTCACCCGTCAACTTCGATAAACAACAACGCTGGGGGGGCCTCAACGGCCAGCGGCATCCGACTCGGACCAATTTTTGGGTGGGTTACAACCAGAATGTCATAGTGTCAAATGTCATAGAACTTGGGTTTGAAACCACTTCCACACAATTTCCTGTTTGTGTTCTGCCACCTGTTTGAGCCATCATGAGCCACCAAGATTCAAGAACCATTTCAGACCAGGCAAGTTTTGAAGCCGTGAACGGTGACTGAACACCACGAACCTCGTTGAACATCTTTGGGTTTGCACGGACCCGCAGAGCGGCAGCACGTTACGTTCGCCCAGGGGGTCTCCCATCGTCGCTAGCTGCTAGTTCAGGAAAAGATCCAGGCATAACCTTGAAGGTTCGATGGTCACCAGTGGTGTTATTTCGACGACCAAGACATAGTGACATAGTGACATTTGCTGGCTATATAGTTAGTGAAGCTGTTCGTTGGTTTTCAAAAATGTGCCAATCTTGATTCAGTTTGTAGACCTGCCATTGAATGAAGTGTCGGTTGATCTTGCTTCTGAATTCACCGTCTGAACGCCGTTCCACATGCTGGGCTGCCTAAGCTTTGTCAGGTTGGGTCAACGTCAAAAACATGCGTAAACTGTTCTGGGCGCCTGGACAAAGGTGAACGAAGAACTGAACTTTGGGTCGTTGAACAAGGAATCCTTGGTCACATGGCAAACCATGGCGTTTGAGTAGGAAATGGTAGAACTTTGAAGACACACTTCTTACACGCAGTGAGACATTGCGAAACAAACCAGCGCATACCAGGAGCATCCTGTCCGGGTGTCCTGGCTGGACTACCCTACTCAGGGATAGGTCGTGGATGGTCGTCAACGCGGTCACGCGGTGTGCTCCAGGTCCTACCAGCAGGGCCAGTGCTCCTTCAAGTGCAGTGCCGCTGGAGTGGCCACGAACATCAAGAACGGTGGAATCTCCATCGGTTCCCTCGGCTTGACGCTTGGAAGCATCAAATCTTTGGAGCTTTAGGGCTGAAATTCCAGGGAAGGAAGACGAACCTTGCAGATACATAACCTGGTTGACAAGGGGTCAAAGTAGGCATATTATATACATGGAGTGGGCATGGGCGCTGGTTGTGGAGGATGATGAGTTCAATGAAGCACATCCCAAACGAACCGACCGGAGGTTTTGGGGCACTGAAATACAGGGTCAGGGTCATTAAAAAAGTGGCGCTTGCTGGCAGCATGGTAAGGAACGCACGTCAGTATTTGCAGGCTCTTGATTCTGAATAACCCCCCATTTGGATTGAACAACCTCGTATGTGAGGTGTTTTATCAATCAAAAGTCTACATGATCACACCCTTGATATGAGGAGCTTCAATGCAATTTTAGGCCTTTTGGTCTTTCATCTTTGTATCGAGTAAAGCATCCTGACATGGTGATCCTGCATCGATCAACAGGAAGGGTTGGTTGATGTTGGTTGTGTTGAACTTAAGAGAACTTAAGAACTTCAGCTAGCTCGATCAAAGATGGCTCTGGTCAGTCCCTTGATCTCGTTCAGAGCCACCCGGGCTCTCTGAGAAGCGAATTTCTCACCGATCCCCCAAGTTCGGGTGCAACGGGAAGCTTCGGGCCTGCGGCGGCCGTGATCAAAACCTGGAGAGTACAACGACCCAAAGGGGAAAAGGCGTTTGTTTTGGGTGTATGGCTTAAGATGTCATGGTTGTGGTATGCTTTGTGTCCATCCAGCAAAACCACTGGTTTAAACCACTCAAAGCATGGTTTGAAAGGAGTTCCCGCCGGTCGAAAAACCACCCCTTTGGACTGGGTTTGCTCGACCACTGGTCACACGTCCTGCTCTCCAGGAACCAAGAAGCTGCGGAGTCAAAGGGCGCATTTGCAGAAGTGGCAGGGTCTCAGGGCTCATTTGCAGATGCGGCGCCCCTCAGATCGATATGAACCGCACTCGGCGTGGTGCTTTATTCCCGAACGTAGCGAAGGGTCTCGCTTATCTTTGGGGGTATAGACTCTTATGTTCGCCACTCGTTGTCCTAGCGTCGGCAACCGTTCGCAGTGTTGCGCTATGGCGCTCACATTGGGCAAAGCTTTTGGAGAGGGTTTTGGATGGAAGCATGATGTGTCAGATTCGTTGGAAATAGAGAGGACACGTGTGGAAACGTGAGAGGATGGAGGATGTTGTGCAGGTGCATCGTTGTGTGAGATCCTCAGTTTTCTTCGCAGTCACTTTGGGATTGGCGTTTAGAGGGTGGTGTTTTTGGGGAGTTGGATGTGGCTGTGACATTTTGGGATTTGCGTTTCAGGCTCTTTTCGTGACAAGTTTCAGCTAAAGTTGCGATTTTGGTGGGTGGCATGTCGCAATCATTCCGAGCGTGTGGTGCAAATTTTGCTGAAGCTACGAAGATGTGATATTGTCACTTTTTGTGGCAGGCGCAGTACTTTGTGCGGGTCTTGAGGTGTGGAAGTGCAATTTTCGTGGCAGGCGAAGGGAGTCGTGAGGTTGCGAGGTGTGGCGAAGGTCACATTTCGTGGCAGGCGCGCTATTTTGTGGGTGTTGAAGGTGTGGACGTGCAAATTTTCGTGGCAGGCGCAGGGAGTCCTGATGTTGTGACAGTAGTGGTGGAAGTGAATGTCGCGAAACTGCTTGGCAGGGCTTCTTGATGCGTGTGCTCTGATGGGGCTTCCAGCGTGGCTTTTGGAGGAAGTCTCGTACGAAACGCTCGTTTTGGAGACGTGACGCGCAAATTTTGGAGGAAGCCTCGTGCGAAACGCTTGTGTCCTGAAAGACTGTCCCGCAAGAGTGCCCCACAAGAATGTCCTACAAAATTTTCCCACAAGAGTGTGATACAAGAGTGTCCCACAAGAGTGTCCTACAAGAGTGTTCCGCAAGAGTGTTCGGTGTCCCATAAGAGCGCACAAGAGTGTCCAACAAGGGTTTCCGACAAGAATGCGTCCTATACTAGAAGAGCAAGGGTTTCCCGCAAGAGTGTCTCGCCAGAGTGTGGTACAAGAGTGTACGACAAGAGTGTTGTACGTGAGTGTCCCACAAGAGTGTCCGACAAGAGTGTCCCACAAGACTTTTCCACAAGAGTGTCCCGCAAGAATGTCCGACAAGAGTGGCCGACGAGAGTGTCCTATACAAGAGTGTCCCACAAGAGTTCCCTACAAGGCTACAAGGGTGTCCCACAAAAGTGTCCTACAAGAGTGTCCTACAAGAGTGTCCCACGAGAGCGTCCGACAAGAGTGTCCTACAAGAGTGTCCTACAAGGGTGTACCACAAGCGTGTCCTACAAGAGTGTCACACAAGAGTGCACCACAAGAGTGTCTTTCAGAAGTGGCAGCTTGTAGCGCACATGTAATGTTGGAAGCAGCTCCTCGGAACTGTGGCCTCAGGACAGGCCGCTTGGTAGTACATATGTAGTACGGGAGGCGGCTTCTGGCCCCTCGTGCCTCAGCACTTGCAACTTTGGCTTTTGCCTCAGAACTGGTCACTTGGCAGTACAAATGTAGTACAGGAAGTGGCTTTTGGCAGGCCTCAGAACTGTCCACTTGGTAATGCACATGTAGCTTCTGAGAGCTGTGGCCTCAGAACTGGCCACTTGGTAGTACAAATGTAGTGCGGCAAGCAGCTTCTGGGAGCTATAGAACTGGCAGCTTTCTAGTACAAAGGTAGTACGGGAACCAGCTTCTGGCAGCTGTGGCCTCAGAACTGTCAACTTACGTGGCCAAAATACATCTGAGTACGTGAGTGTCGTAGGTGAGTGTCCAACAAGAGTGTCCCGCAAGAGTGTTGCACAAGAGTCCACAAGAGTGTCTTACAGTAAAAGTAGCAATGGGCAGGAACTCTGGAAGGAGATGTCCAAGAAATACAAAATGAAGACTCAAACTCTGAAGCAAGTCTTCAAAGAACATGATGCTCTGAAGGTTGTGGTGTCCAAGCGCAAGTGCTCCAAGAACCCTATGTATCACAGTGCTGGACATGGCCAAAAGACCAAGGCTGGACAGGCGATACAAAGGTCTGAGAAAGCCTGGCGCTGGCAGAAAGATGCCTTCCCACAGGTTCTGGTAGGTCTGAAGGCTTGGGTAGAAGTTCAGCGCAGCTATGGGCACACCATTCTGCACCACAATTTCATGGCCCAGTAGCAAATGGTTCTGCAGAATGCAGTTGACAAAGTGTTTGCTGAAGGCACCTGTGAGGCAGATCCTCTGGTGAAAGCGCAGTTTCTGCAGAAAGCTGACAACGGCAAGAACATGATTGCCAGTGTGCACAAGAGCAAGTTCCAGATGTACCACAAGTTTTTCACATCAGAAAAAATTAGACCTGGAATTTCTGATGCCGGTGCAATTTGGAAGTGTGTCGAAGGAACCCACAAGTCCAAGGATCCCTCATGCACCAGTGTGGTTTTCACGATTTGGAAGGATGACTGGCCGCAGGAGGATTGGCAACATGCTTTGGAAGCAACCACCCCCTTTGTCATCAAGACCTTTGAGGCCTCAGGTTGCAACAATATGATTCACTCCACCTCAGGGCGCAAGAGTGTCCTACAAGAGTGACCCGCAAGAGTGTTGCACAAGAGTCCACAAGAGTGTTTTACAGGGGTGTCCCACAAAGAGTGTCCTACAAGAGTGTCCTGCAAGAGTGTCCCACAGAGCGACGAAAGTGTCGCACAAGAGCGTGCAACAAGAGTGCCTCCTACAAGAGTGTCAAGAAAATGTTTGGGCGTTTGGGTTCATGGATTCTATCTTGTTACTTTTTCAACGGGTCTATGGCTGCAAGACTTAGTCCGTATGCAGAGGAATTCTGATGGAGGGAACCGAAATCATTGCTAGTCAATCCCATTGAGGTGCCCGAAAACGAAAACTACAAAGCTGATATTTGCTCACCAGTTCTATTTGGGACAGATTTTTGCATTTTTGGCTACAGCTAACACAATGTCATAGTGTTTGTATGTGTTTGTAGTTGTACACTAGCATGTACTATTTGGTCGTGTCGGCATGTATCGGCCGTTTCACTCTGTTTCACCCATCCAAATCGCTGCCCAGGACGCGTCCGAAGAAGAAGAAAGCGAAGAGCCTCAAGAAGAACAGGCTCAGCAACCCATGCGATGACTTGTCGAAGCTTGGAGAATGGGAGAAGGGCGTATATTACAAGAACCATGTGTTTTGGGGGGGAGTAACAAACCAGTGTTTGATGGTTTTGCGGAATTCCTGGTAAAGCTGAATTACTGGTCCCGGGATCTGGAAATTGCATCATCATCTCTTTGTGCATGGCATAATTTGGATCTTCGCATGGGGCTTGGATGAATGGAACTTCCTATGTCCGCCCGCTGTCCGCCCGTGACAGTCCGTTTCCCTGGAGTGAACTCTGGTTGGGATGAGACTTGTCTCATCATCGCTGGAGGTGTAGACCGCCTCCAGGGTTTCGAGATCTTGAACCACCACATTGTTTAGGGTGTGTCTTTTCTTGGAACACCAACGGCAGGAATCATTTTAAATCTACTAGCTGATGTTGTAGTGGATGTTGAACACCTTTTGGTGGATGATGAGCAACCTTAGCCTTCAAAAATTCAACAGCCATCCCTTGCCAGCCATGGATTGTTCTTGAATCTCCTTAGAAGGTACTGTAGTTTGTTAGACTCACTGGCACCCACCACGACCACCTTCTCAGAAGGTAGTTCCCTAGTGGTTTATATATATATA